GTCCTTTTAGTTGACCTTTATACATTTAGTAGCTGTGCATTTGCAGCAGTTAAATTACAGAGTAAGAAGATTTCCACCCGTTTTCTGGCTCTGGTTTCACCATGTGTGAGGCCAGAGAGGTGGCAGGTCCTTGGGAAGCAAGGATTTTCTGCTTTTTGTAAGAATGAGTAAATTACTTCCACCCTCACATCTTGCTACGCTTTGTATGGAAGTACAAATTTTTGTATAACCTCCCTCAAATTGCTCCCATGGTGATAATGGAGGAGTTTTCTCCCTGGGCACCTCAGTGAGCTGTTTGTGTTGGGAATTGCCTGCTCTCTCTCTTAATGAATAGAGGCGGAATTTAATAACTTAAGGATTCAAAAATATGCAGGGTGTCTTGGAGGAAAGGTTTTCCTTTCAGCTCTTCCACTTCAGTGCTTGCATTTACTTGCAAGTTTGGCATGGGTCTGTGCCCTTCTACAAAGGAAAACCCTTTGGCTGGGGCCTGGAAATTCATGGCAGAGAAATGCAATTCAATTAATGTTTACCAGGGAATCAAGGCAGCACTTCAAGTAGTCCAAAAAAATGGTACCAAGTTAACACCTTGCAAAATGCACGTTTTTACCTACATCTGAGATCAGCACAAATAGTTTTATCCAGTGTATTTTTGATGCGATGCTAAATTATTCAGTTGAATTCATGACTAACCTCTGGCTTTCAATTTTGCCAGTCTTTATAAAAATGAAAAATAACTATCATATTTCATTAAACAGGGAACAGCTTGCACTGTGTATGGGACCTGGCACCACATGCTGTAAATCTTTATGAAAATGGGTTGTCTGATTTACAGTTGTGCATAATCAAAGAAAAATAATTTTTGCTGATCTCTGTGAAAGAGAGTAAGAATGAAGCAATTAAGATAATGTTAAAGTCCTACTTGTAGTCCTGTCATGATAATCTTGCTGCTATTTGAATAAAATCATCCTCTGGATTGCTTTTTAGACTCTCTTTCATATTGGTTTTTCCCTTCCTGTCATAATATTGTCTTACCAGTGAAGTGATTGTCCCTTGCTATGTCTGCAGAGAGGAAAATTGATTTGCTCCCATGTTGACCCCAGTTTTGTTCTAGTTTAGAGTTTAATTTTCATTTAACAAAAGCTACACTAGTTTAGATAACAAGTATTTCTTTCCTCAGCTGACCAACTCCTGCCGCCTTTTCCCTGTCAGGCACAAAGCAGCACCAGGGCTTCCCTCGGCTGGGAGTGACCCTGCTGGGCTCAGGGAAAAGCCAGAGCTGGGAAGCTGAGATGTTGTGACAATGGCTGAGGAGGAGATTTCCAGAGAAATATTCCTGTAATTTGCTGGAATTGGGAAATGAAATGTGCATTTCTGACAACAGTGACAGATTTATGGACTGGGTACACTAATTAAAATCAACTTACTCCAAGATATGAATGTGTCAATGACAGCAGCAGGAGAGCTGGGCTGCTCTGTGCCCGAGCGTGGGAACGTTGAGGTGCCCTCTCCTGCAACCACAGAACCTTGTCACATACAAAATTCAGGAATAACATTTTGCAAGAAGCAAATTGAAGGATTACTTCCTTCTGCTGTGAAACATATGGGGAGATGTTTTGCTGTAAACTGTACACTCATGTGCAAGACAGAAAGAAGCCAAATGTTTTCATTTGCTCTTTATCTTCTCACTGCTGTTTCTTGTTCACATGGATGTGGTGGAATCTAGCTAAGAAGTCGGAAGAGAAAAATACTTCCAACTAAATCTTTACTCATACTAAATGTAACATCTTGGGATTGTCATGCTTTGAAATTTATCTGAGAAAAATTCCTCTGTAAAAATTTTCTTGCCCTGGATAAATTGTACTCCTTCCTTGCAACCTCCACCAGTAATCTCAAAAGTTGGAGGCATTGAGGAATGAAAGTAAAATATTTCTAGTGTGCATTCAAAGCACCTCTGATATTACATCTGTATTCCTGCTTCAGCAATGATTTAGATGGATGTCTCAATACATGATAAGATGACAGTTAAATGAAAATAATGCAATAATTTTGTTTTTTACAAACATCACTCTAGTTTGCATTTGAATGTAGAAAATTGGAACTTAGTATTTTATTACACATATGGAATTTAAGTCTGTATAAAGCAGAGGAATAATAATGCTTTTTGAAAAGAATGTGAAGCTTAAAACCCCCCAAAATGAAAGACTCTGTAGATGTTTAAGAATACAATAGTTGAATCTGATACAGTTCTATTTATTTATTTGCTATTTCTTCACTAAACTTCACCCTTCCCCCCCATTTAATGGATATGTCCTTGAATATTCTCCTTATAGTCATTTAAGTATCTGCTGAAGTTCCTAAGGCTGCAATTTCCTTGTAATCTTCCATCTGTTTCAAATGCATTGTAAATACAGTCAGGTCTTCAGGTCCATAAAAGCATCCAGTGAAGTCAGTGCAGTTACATGGAATTTCTTCAGATGAGAATCTTGCTCATGATGTTTGTGTCTCCATTTTTCCTAACCCCAAACTTCTTTCCACTGTATAGTTACAGGTGTTTTTTAGCATTTTAATTGCAAATTGATAATGGTTGCCTGATTTTGACTAGACTTTGCATTCACAGTTACAGGAAATGGGTTCTTGTAATATGGGCTTGACCTTTACAAAAATGTCTGAAACTCCTTTCGTAAACTGTTTTTCTAACATAATATTTACTGAAGGAAAGGATTTACTTTTATGACTTCTCTTTTGTTGTCAGCCTGCTGCAATGGTGACACGGAGCATTGTGCTCAACACTGTTCTTAATTGCTAGGGAAGATGCCAAGGACTGCTCTAGGTTAAAAATCTGTATTTACTAGTTAGAAAGGTCACACTTAAAAATGTCCATGTGATTTTTTTTTTTTTTTTTTCCCTCAAATGTTGGGGGCAATGCCCTCATTGGAGAAGTTCCTTGTGATGCACAAAGGACCAAGGTGTATCTATTGCTTGAAAGAATTATTCCATTGCTATAAAATGCATACAGAAATGGGGAAGAGTGAAAGGATATGATGGATACAATCTACTTAATCTACTGTAAATGCTTTTACTTTTTACTGTAATTTAGCACAATCATAAATGGAAACAAAGATAAGAGTTGGAGAAGAAAACTGAAGTGATTGGATTTGAATGACAATATTTTTTATGATCAGTTAGGAGCTGAACCAAAGTTGAATTCAGGGCACTGTCTGTAGATATCTACTTTACTTTGTAGTAGTAAATCAGTAATTAAATCATTAAATGCTGACTCTGAGCAGCTTTTCTGTGTGCTGGGTTCCTTAAGCTGTGAGTCCCCACATGAAAATCTTTACTGGTTTTTACGTATCTAGTCCAAGTCACCAGGAAATAGCTCCTTGTGGAAATCAGCAACCAAATATTCCTCATTCAATTCTTCTCCAAAACATATTTTATAACATTTGTAATTAACCCAAAACATTTCAAATCTGTCTCTGGTATTCAGAATGTCATGAGGTACCAAAGGAGCCATGGCAGATGATTTCATTACCACCAGCAGTGTGATTTTATACCTTCAGTATCAGTCTTCAGGTCTTACACAAGTTGTAAGACTTTTATTGCTGTCAAACTATATAAAATCCTGGTACCAGCTTCTTAACACTTGGAAAGTAATAACACACTTCATCTATTTAAAGAAGTACAGACTGTTTTCTTGGAATAGATTTGCAGAGCTGAGCTATCATTCTCACTAATATTTGTATGTTTAACACCACCCTGCCATGAAATCAATGAATCTGTTTCTGTTCCCTGCAAGTGTAAAATAGGATAGCAGTTTGTGACCGTGATCATAAAACTCTTTAAATTAAAAACATCATATGTGTCTTCCTTCAGAGGCCTGCATAAGAAATCTTGAATGATTCATATCTTATTTTTAAATCATAAGCTTTTGTTTCACCAGGAGTTCATGCTTTCTGTGTCTGAAAATGATGCAAATAAGTTTCCTCTACTGGTCAAGAATAAATACTGAAGTAAATATAAAATATAAAGAAAAATAAAGATTATACTGCTTCCCATGTATAGTTTAGGCATTCTAATTATTGTATGTAAATGCAGAATGTAAAATTAAAAAAATAAATTTAGATCTTACAGCAGCTTAGTAAAAATATACCACTGAAAAGGTTTGGAAATTTAGTGCCAACAAAATGAATTGTGCTGCCTATTTCTGATGATGTCAAAATAAGCAGCACCTGCCCTTGCACTGTATAAAATGTTATGAATTCTGTAAATCATAAGACAAATATTAGAAACAAATCTGTCTTGGGCAACATTACAGAGCAATTGCAGACTGTGAGGCCATTGTTTGAAGTTATTTCCATCTAATGAGGACACTGACAGATTGCTGGTTGTCTTTGGAGTCCCATCCTGTTAATTCTCCATCAGGCATCAATGGGCCGTGTGCTCTGAACGGAGCAAGACCAGCACTGAACTCAGTCCCTGGGGATGGAAAATCTCCTTCTGCAGAGTCTGAAAGCTTCCACCAAGCCTAGTGAACCTTGGAGATGAATTCCCACTCAGACATTATGTCTGGAAGTACAGAGCTCCTCCAGCACGTTCATTGCAGTTTATTTGTAACTACAAATTGCTGTGAGTTTGTTGGGTTGCATTGATGTGTTTACAGGAATGTAAAACTTCCTGCTGGAGAGTTGTTTAACTGTGGGTGGCTGTCCCCAGGGAGCTGCCTCAGTAGCTACTGATTTGAGTTTTCTGCAAGTGATCCAGCACTTGGAAATTTCTCATGTAAATATCAGTTTGTTCTTTTTGGCAAATATTTTGATTAGCTGTAAGTACCTATAGTCAGTGTTGCTACTGATGGTCTGAAAATGATAACCCACAGAAAGTTACTGGAATGCAATGGAAGTTTGGCAGCTCTGGCAGAACAGAAAGCAGAATTAGAGATTCTGTTCCCTTTGGAGCTGTACCAAGTTGCTAATCTTTTGCTGTGTTTGGTATTTTAGGATGTCATGTCCACGTTCTTCCAGTTTGGGGCTTCCATCCAGCAAGAAGCCATTATCATGCTGAAGATCATGCAGGATTATGACTGGCACGTGTTCTCTCTGGTGACCACCACTTTCCCTGGATATCGAGATTTCATCAATGTCATTAAGACCACTGTGGAAAACAGCTTTGTGGGCTGGGACATGCAGAACGTCATCATACTCGATACTGCCTTTGGAGATGATGCCAAGACCCAAATCCAGCTGAAGAAGATCCATTCATCTGTCATCCTGCTGTATTGTTCCAAGGATGAAGCTGTCTACATCCTGGATGAGGCTCGCTCCCTGGGCCTCACTGGCTATGATTTCTTTTGGATAGTTCCCAGCCTGGTTAGTGGTAACACAGAAATCACTCCCAAGGAGTTTCCTTCAGGACTCATTTCAGCAGCTTATGATGAGTGGGACTACAGTTTAGAAGCTCGGGTCCGGGATGGCCTGGGGGTCATTGCCACTGCTGCCTCAGCCATGCTGGACAAGTACTCCTTCCTTCCTGAGGCACGGACCAGCTGCTACGGACAGCTGGAGAAAAACGACCGGCCCTCTCAAACCTTGCACAAGTAAGGATGATTGCTTTGGGTCATTTTGACCTCTGCAGCCTTGTACTTTTCTCTTTGATTGCCACTGTATGTTTCTTGAAGGGGAATATTGGTTTTTGCTAATCCCATTGAGCCCTTTTTCAGCACGGGTTTTCAGATGTTGCAGAAGAATGTCCAAAATGACTTGCTGCACTGATAGATTGTGGTGGTGTTCACAAGGGTCCCAGGATGAGGGAAGAGATGAGAATCTTGACTCCATGTTTCAGAAGGCTGATTTATTATTTTATGATCTATATTATATTAAAAGAAAATGGTATATTAAAACTATACTAAAAGAATAGAAGAAAGGATTTCATCAAAAGGCTTGCAAGGAATAGAAAGGAATGAAATGATAATAAAATCTTGTGACTGACCAGACACAGCCGGACTGTGATTGGCCATTAGTTAAAAACAACCACGAGACCAATCACAGATGCACCTGCTGCATTCTACAGCAGCAGATAACCATTGTTTACATTTTGTTTCTGAGGCCTCTCAGCTTCTCAGGGGAAAAGATCCTAATGAAGGATTTTTCATAAAATATGTCTGTGACAATAGCTGTGTTCCTTGAGGTGATGTGTGCTGTGGAGAATAAACACTGCTCTGAATCTAGTGTGGAAGATGACAGAAATTGGTCTTAGAGGGTATGAAGATGAGTGAACAAAATTGGACTGTTGTGTGCTTTAACTATGAGGTAAAATTGCCAAAAAGCTCTGGAGGCTGAGCCTGTATCACTTGCATCAGCAGGAACCTGGTCATATTTTAGAAGACAAGCGATGTGCAGCATTAAAGCACTGTCCCTGGAAATTGTAGAAGTATTAGATTAGTTAGGCAACTTTTATCACATGAGAACTGAAATCTGTCCCCTTTACTTGTAAGGGTATATTATTGTCACCTCTGATAGAATAACTGTGAAACTTTACTGACATTAATCCAATCTGATATAGATGTTTTCTCTAAACAGTTTGTTAGATGGGAGCTGCCAAAGTTTAAATCAGGATTCTTATTTTGTTATTATTATTATTTTCTTTTTAATTATCCCTTTTAGACTTGATACTTCTGATTACTTCTATCCAAAATGTTGCATGGTAATATATTTCTTTATCTGGTCTGTGAGAGGAAGTAGGATCTCTTGCATATTTTTTAATAACTCTTGTCAATATGGAAGTTACTAGGAAGTATTTATGACCCTTGTTCTAACCAAATAGTGCAGATGGAGTGCTTTCTACAAAAAAGCAGGCACAGGAAGGAAAGTTGGTGCTGATTTCCAAAAGGAGGTTTTGGAACAGTTTTAATCTTGAGATGTATGTGCATATTTAGATTAGGGGTTGATTACCACACGATGTCCTGGAACAGTTTTCCATGAAAACAGCCTCTTTGCACACAGCATTCTTCAGAAGCTTCCTTAAAAGCCAAATGCAGCCGAGTAAATTAATTTTAACATTTCCTTAGCAAGAACTTGCCTTTAGTATGACACTTGCAGGCTTTTTTCTGCTTCCTTTCCTATTTTTGAACCTCTGCCTCTAAAACTACAAATTCCCTGGAGACATTGCAGAAACCCCACGATTCTTTTCCTGCTTTTCCTGCTGTTTTAATTACAAAATAACAAGGTAATGCTCTAATCCAGTAACTCGTTCGGTACTTTCAGCTTCCTAAGCTGACCAAACCTGGGAGAGAATTCTAATACAGATTTTCGGTATGTTCTGGAGTCACTTTGTGGGGCAGGATTTGCCGCTGTGGGTGGCTGTGGTGCCCAGCAGGGCTCTCGGGAAGCCGTGGCGTGTCCCTGTGTGTCCCTGTGTGTCCCTGTGTGTCCCTGGGCTCAGGGCAGAGCAGGGGGGGCACTGTCCCCCCCATGTCACCCCCGTGCTGGCTCTTGGTGTGTGTGCTGGCAGTGCCAGGGAGCAGTGGGAGCCTCCTGTTCACCAAATCCTGTGCCTGAACAGCAGCACCTGACCTACAAACCAGGCAGGCACTATTAATAATTGAAACTCTAGTTTCTGTGAAAGTTTAGTTGTATTCTGTCATAAGTGTTGGGGTTTAAAATACTCTTGGAAGGGGCACAAAAACTTGACCCTGGTTTGAAAAAGGCTCCTTCCCTGTTGTTTGGCTAATACACTAGTGTAGACTTGAATTAAGTATTCAGAACCCAGCATAAGCTGTATTTCTCTAAATAATCTTTATTTTCTCATTAAATCTGCATGAGTACAAGAACAGGGCTTGTGAGTGCTGGGGTAGTGAGATTAGACTTCACCAGGAGATTCTGCAGCATGCAGTGCATGATGCACCCAGGAATTATTAATAGGAGAAGCTGTAGTGCACTGTGGTTAAAAAAGTCTCCTCCTGATGTGAAACACTGAGCTATGAAATAAAAATACCTTTTCTGTACTGGAGATTCTTTGAGCTTTTCCAACACCACAAGAACAAGAAGTAGGCTGTTTTTTAATTTAGAAATGTCAGAATTATACTAAAATAAATAAACTTTAAATAGTCATTCTTATGTAATAACTCCCCAAGACTATTCCTGTCACATATAATCTGCTAGCAAGTCAAGTACATACAAGCATTTACCAGGACTAAGTAATCCTGGGGAGCTGACCAGTCTCTCCATGCCAAGGTGAATTACATAAATTCATTGGACTTTCTCATCCTCATCATTAATTTTACTTTTCTACTTTACATGAAAAATCAATGGCTTAATTGGGGTTTTATTTTGAAATGGAATCTTCACAGTTTCAGATCCCAGGCAGTGCAGTTTCATATTGTAAACCACAAGACAAATGTACATGTTCTGTATTATTAAACTAACCTGAGGAAAGGATTTTGGAGGATGTTCCAGTGGAAAGGGCTAAAGGAACTGTAAGTAAATTATCGACATGGGGTCTGCTGTGCTCTACCAGCTGTCCATCTGGGAATCAGTGCTGGGTGCATCAAGAGGATGCTGCTGCAAGCTCAGGAACAGAGAACTCAGTGGAAGTCAGGGAAGGGCCTGTGTAAGGGGATGCCTGAGCAAAACAAGGCTCAAAACAGAGACAAACCCCAGGAGTTTTAGGCTCCATCTATTGTAATGGCAGTCTAATTCAGCTTTAAACCCAGGATAGTATTCTGAGACTATGCTATAATTGCTAATTTGCTTGTAAATGGAAGTTAATAATTCTTTGTGTGACTTCCCACATCTAGATAGCAATTTTATCTCTGTTTGTGAAGAAATTCTATGTAAAGAAAGCAGTGAAGTAAAAGCTCCTCCTCCCTCTTTCTCAAATCCTTTGAGTATTAAATTGGTTTGAAGATATATTTGTTTTGAAGCACACAATTTGTCTTTCCCCCATCACTGCAATTCTGAGATGCATTTATTGGCTTCTTAGACCCAGAAGAAAATCAGGTTTGCTTTAGTTTTTGGAATGATCTGATCAATGCTCATTTCTGGTGCACATAGGAAAGCCAGTTTTTCCCTATGAATAAAGGAATTATAATAAAATACAGGGCTCATTTTCAATGCATTAAAAACACAGATGTATGTGTATATTTGTATCTGTATTGATTCAGATAATCTTTTTCTATCAGTGTAAGACCCAGGTCTCCCAAGGCAGAAAACCACTATTGTGTGAAATACTGGCACCGCAGGATAAATAGAATTAGCACCTCATTAATGCCAAGTCAGTTGAACAAACTCTTTTTCTCTCTAAAAAAGGGAAAACACAGAAGCAAACAAACAGCAAAACACAATAACCCTGCCAGTCATGGAAAATGCTGCTGCTTTGTGCATTGAAATGGTGCTGCTTTGTTTACAAGAGTACTCATGGTGTGTATGGAAATCCTGACCCCGGGAGAGACATTTCACTGCAGCATTTCCAACCCTGCTGGTCCTGAAAAGCAAAAAGATGTGTCTGCCCATAGGTGGTCAGGGTGTTTGCCACGTGGGGCTGACATTTGGTGAGATTCTGTTCTGCAATGCAGCCCAGCTGTAGAGAGGATTTAGAGACCCATCCTTCAGCAGTGAGGACGTAGGTTCAGAGGGTCTCCTACCCGTCCCAAGCACAATTTCCTTCATTTGTCATCCCTGAACCAGGAGCAGGAGCAATGGGCAGTCCGCAGGGCCAGAGACAAAGCTCGTTTGTCCTTGCTGTTGTGCTGCTGTTATCCCTCAGCACAGCACCTTCTTCAGAGGGAGAGAGTTTGCTGTCCCCCTTGTCATGATAGTCAATCACCGAGTTCAATATTTTGATTCCAGCTTCCATCATGACAGATAGATTTGCCTCTTTTTGATTGAAATCTGCGATTAAAGGGACACAATGGTTTGATGAATAATCCAGCAAATCTGTTTAATATTTTCCCACTTACAGATCAACAGCCTATTTGTAGAGGATTTGTTCATTTTAGTCAGAAGACTTGGGAACAATAGGTATCATCTTCTTTATTGGATAGTTGAAGGTGTATAGTTATTTAACTAATTATGTAGGAGTCCAAAGGAAAACTAAACTTCACAGGCAACAAAGGAGGGGTTCTGTAGGGGAACACTGCCCCAGAGACCCCAGCATGGTGCTGGTTTACTTACAAAGTGATTCAAGAAATTACTGAAATTCTGTATTAGAATTTTCTGCCAGGTTCGGTCAGCTTAGGAAACAGAAAGTACCAAACAGTTACTGGATTAGAACATTACCTTGTTATTGTGATAATTAAAATAATTTGAAACAAGAGAACAAGCATGGCCTCTGGCAGTGGAGTGGAGCCTGCCCTCAGGGCTCAACATCAGCATAACAGAGAATGTTCCTGGAGATGGAGCTGCTGCAGGCACCGTCCCCTGGCAGGAAACCAGGCACACATCATGGGGAGGAGCTGGGGATGCTTCTGAGGTGGTGCAGCAGTATGTGATCAAATTAGGGCTGGTTTTGAAATGTTGATGCTGATAATAGAATTAACTTGCTAAACATTCTGGTGTTCAGTTACACTCACCTGTGGCACACCCAGGGAGCTGGGATATG